CTTTTCAATCGCTAAAAAGTCTAAGTGCGTTAAGACTAAAGAGACGTTCAAGTCAACGAAAAAGAAAAATATGAATTGTAACTTTATTCGATAGAAAAAGATGACGTTAAAATGACTCAAGAATGATGAAATGTGTTATTTGTAATTTCAAGATCTCATTTGCGTTAATAAATTTTATCGTGGAATATYTCAAAAGTATCTACATACCTTTATCTGGTATAAATATGCCATTGTTTATCTTTTTCTGTCTTGTTATGGCCAAACCAAATGGAACAAGAATTGCCGCAATCAATATCAACATTTTACTCCGCTCTGWTGTAAGTRAAGCACTAAACGGACCTTCCAAACTGATGCAGGTGCGAGTTCGTTAATCCGATGTCATTATCAATTGATTAATAAATAAAGAGTTAGCAAAGCTTGTTTTGCTCATATATGCATGGATCTTATTGCTTTAAAAGGTTTTTTGCAATCTCTAGCTTAAACCTTGATTAAGATGAAAAAGAACTGAATGTTACCAGTTCAATCTTAGATCCTCGAGCCGGGATCAAGTGATTTATGAAAAGTTCAAAGGTTTTGTAAAACTCATTAATAATTCATAAACCTATTGGCCAATCCAGTTCAAAAATTGGGGTCACATGATAACATTGTAAACCAGATGCAAACTTGAGAGCTTGAACAGACCTCTACAGCTTTTACGTCATGTACCGTATAGGCAATGCATTGTAGGATATGTTTGGGACAAAACATGGCGGATTTCTTTTGTTTTCTCTTGAAACTGATCCCACAATGCATTGAAAATCAAGTAGTGACGTAAAAGGTTCAGGAGTCTATTGTCAACAGGTAAAACAGGGGTTAAAATATAATAGGGCTTTAGTCAGAGCATGGAACGCGGTACCTAAAGTTTAGGCAGATGTGAGTTAGTTGAAACCGATGTTATTATCCGCTCCCCCCCCCTCAAAAGTCTCATGGATCGACCCTYATTTTTAATCATTTCTTTCTGGCACCCTTAATGTTACATATTATCACTCATTAAAAAATATGTATGTATTTAAGTGTTAAATTTTATGCATATACTTACTTAGTCGTTAAAACTAACGACTAAGCTAACAATATTCAAAGATGTTAGCTCCGTGAATACAAGCTTTTTTTATTTTTCAAGCAACTACATTCGACATTTTCCGCGGAAAAAATAGATTTTGCTTCGGATTGGCTTCTTGAAGTTGTGATGAGCCACTTTAAAACTTTGAGGGGCATCCAATTGACCAATCAAGACTCAAGGATTCAATTGTTGGCATTTTAGAAAGAATTCTGTTGGCATGAAGCACTGTTTTAGATGTATTTAAACTTAATGTTTATCAACTTTTTTTAAATAACCGACTACCGACAAATGCCTAGAGTTTAAACTGACTAGCGACAAATGCTTGAAATTTTAACTGACTACCGACATTGAGACCCCCCCATTAAGACCCTGTTAAAACCACTTTAAGTAATGCCCCGAGTAAGAACTAGGGAAGCAAACGGCAGAGGAATGCAAGAAGGTGCTAATTGCGCATTGTATAATCCATCCATCCCATTGGTTAAAACATGAAAATCTGCTATAATTTCACAAGTTAGCGAATTTTCTAATATTTTATTTAATGTCTGTTTTCGCTTTCATGAAAGCTTTCTTTAGCTTCAATATTAAGGCAATTCTATGTGGGGAACATTGCAAATTAGAAGCATCTTTTGGCTATTGTTTTGAGTGCTTATGATTGGATAAGAGCTTTTAATACAAAAGAAACTTTGTTTCAAAATAGAGTTTAACCACATTTTATTTCAAAAATGTGTTACCCACAGATGGATACATAATCAGTGTGAAAACCAAGACATTCGTACATGGGGAACTTGCTATGCCGCWGAACAATAGAGAGYTCCCTAGTTCTTTAGCGCATTGTTACTTAATCAGTTACCAATTTTTATTGTAACTATAACAACATATTGCTTACTAAAGCGGCGTTTACACAAGAAATTTTTCCTTGACAAGGAAAAATTGCTCGTGTAAATGGGGCAAAATAGGCAATTTTTCCTTGTCAAGGAAAAGCCAACATGTTCGCTTTTTTAAAGCAGTAATCTACTTATCTTTTTTTATAATTTAGGGATATTTATGTATATGGAATAAGGATACGGATGGTATTTTAAAAAAATATCTAGGATTATGGATTATTCAGACCCCCCTAGCACGAAACGATCCCGAAC